GGAAAGCATAGGCCCCCTTACATTGGTGGACAGCATAGCACCCCCTTACATTGATGGACAGCATAGCCCCCCCTTACATTGATGGACAGCATAGCACCCCCTTACATTGATGGACAGCATAGCGCCCCCTTACATTGATGGACAGCATAGCAACCCCTTACATTGATGGACAGCATAGCACCCCCTTACATTGGTGGACAGCATAGCACCCCCTTACATTGGTGGACAGCATAGCACCCCCTTACATTGGTGGACAGCATAGCGCCCCCTTACATTGGTGGACAGCATAGCGCCCCCTTACATTGGTGGACAGCATAGCGCCCCCTTACATTGGTGGACAGCATAGCGCCCCCTTACATTGGTGGACAGCATAGCACCCCCTTACATTGGTGGACAGCATAGCACCCCCTTACATTGGTGGACAGCATAGCACCCCCTTACATTGGTGGACAGCATAGCACCCCCTTACATTGGTGGACAGCATAGCACCCCCTTACATTGGTGGACAGCATAGCACCCCCTTACATTGGTGGACAGCATAGCGCCCCCTTACATTGGTGGACAGCATAGCGCCCCCTTACATTGGTGGACAGCATAGCGCCCCCTTACATTGGTGGACAGCATAGCACCCCCTTACATTGGTGGACAGCATAGCGCCCCCTTACATTGGTGGACAGCATAGCGCCCCCTTACATTGGTGGACAGCATAGCGCCCCCTTACATTGGTGGACAGCATAGCACCCCCTTACATTGGTGGACAGCATAGCGCCCCCTTACATTGGTGGACAGCATAGCGCCCCCTTACATTGGTGGACAGCATAGCGCCCCCTTACATTGGTGGACAGCATAGCACCCCCTTACATTGGTGGACAGCATAGCGCCCCCTTACATTGGTGGACAGCATAGCGCCCCCTTACATTGGTGGACAGCATAGCGCCCCCTTACATTGGTGGACAGCATAGCACCCCCTTACATTGGTGGACAGCATAGCGCCCCCTTACATTGGTGGACAGCATAGCGCCCCCTTACATTGGTGGACAGCATAGCGCCCCCTTACATTGGTGGACAGCATAGCACCCCCTTACATTGGTGGACAGCATAGCGCCCCCTTACATTGGTGGACAGCATAGCGCCCCCTTACATTGGTGGACAGCATAGCGCCCCCTTACATTGGTGGACAGCATAGCACCCCCTTACATTGGTGGACAGCATAGCGCCCCCTTACATTGGTGGACAGCATAGCGCCCCCTTACATTGGTGGACAGCATAGCGCCCCCTTACATTGGTGGACAGCATAGCACCCCCTTACATTGGTGGACAGCATAGCGCCCCCTTACATTGGTGGACAGCATAGCGCCCCCTTACATTGGTGGACAGCATAGCGCCCCCTTACATTGGTGGACAGCATAGCACCCCCTTACATTGGTGGACAGCATAGCGCCCCCTTACATTGGTGGACAGCATAGCGCCCCCTTACATTGGTGGACAGCATAGCGCCCCCTTACATTGGTGGACAGCATAGCACCCCCTTACATTGGTGGACAGCATAGCGCCCCCTTACATTGGTGGACAGCATAGCGCCCCCTTACATTGGTGGACAGCATAGCGCCCCCTTACATTGGTGGACAGCATAGCACCCCCTTACATTGGTGGACAGCATAGCGCCCCCTTACATTGGTGGACAGCATAGCGCCCCCTTACATTGGTGGACAGCATAGCGCCCCCTTACATTGGTGGACAGCATAGCACCCCCTTACATTGGTGGACAGCATAGCGCCCCCTTACATTGGTGGACAGCATAGCGCCCCCTTACATTGGTGGACAGCATAGCGCCCCCTTACATTGGTGGACAGCATAGCACCCCCTTACATTGGTGGACAGCATAGCGCCCCCTTACATTGGTGGACAGCATAGCGCCCCCTTACATTGATGGACAGCATAGCACCCCCTTACATTGGTGGACAGCATAGCGCCCCCTTACATTGGTGGACAGCATAGCGCCCCCTTACATTGGTGGACAGCAAAGCGCCTCCTTACATTGGTGGACAGCATAGCGTCCCCTTACATTGGTACATATTATACCTCTCCTCTCTGTACTCTGTGCTGTACATACTTTACTTCTCCTCTCTGTACCCTCTATGTACTATCCTCCTTGACACAAATCATCTCATGGTTGTCTTATATTGTTTGGAACTTTGGTACTCCCTCCGGCTCATGGACGGGAACACCTTTTCTGGTCTGTTTTTAATCCTGACCCAGAGCCGCAGATGTCGGGGGTGAATCATACTCATTCCAGATCACACGCAGCTTCGGGAATCCCCAGCAGATGAATTTGGGATGTTTTCCATGCATGTGCCTGCGGGGGAGGTTTTTGGGCTCCCATTATGTGTGACACCAGCAATCGGAAAGAATGCGTTATGTATGGGGTGCGTCATCCTAAAGTGGACCCATCATTGCCGCACTTCACATACACCCCACAGAGCAGACACAGGCAGGGCCCAATAACCTTATATTTATATATCAAATCCCTCCTAGAAAACCGCAGCTCCTAAGAACAGTCATGTGACCTATGGTTCAGCAGTGTGCGGGCTCTACTTACTCACCAATAAGTGTGCCCATGCTCATGGAGAGGGGGGCCAACAACAGGGGACATTTGGCTGCATTTGCACAGGTTGTGGTCACCCAAGTTTAAGGATAATGGCAACTATAGGGATTCATAAGATGTGACAACAATCATCTTATGAATCCCTATAGTTGCCATTATCCTTGTCATTTATCAGTCTGGCTGTGCTCCACAAATCACAATTTACCTTTGTACACAGCGGGTCCTCTTACCTCCCACATTGACTTCAGTGATTTTGCTTGGCGGTACCCGTCCCCAGACGTCCACCAGACTGGCTGTGTGTATGACCAGGTGGCTTCCACTCAGGACCCCTTGGACATCATCGTAGGAGGAGATGTCTCCTTGGACCAGCTTGACTTTTACTCTGTCTAGGAGAGAAGCAGAAACAGAGACGGCTTAGGACAAAATCATTAAATATGTCACCC